CAATCCATGGTAACTATCCAAGGTACGCAGTAAGAACCAATCCAAGCCATCCCAGTGCATCGGGTCGTTGCGACTGTTCATACCAAAGGCAGGCAGCATATCTCCCTCCATCTCCGAGCTGGCGCGTCTTCCATCCATCCTGTCATCATCCCCTCTGACCATACGGATAAGATAGGTACTTCCTTCCTTCATCCTGTTTCTTGTTCGTTACCGGTCCGAACAGTCGCAGTCAAAAAGTTCCAGTCTGCTACATCCCGCCGCCGTCACCGCTGCCGCCGCCGCCGCCGCCTCCGTCCGGCAACCTCTCACAGTCTCGCTCTCCTGACACACATTCGCCGACGCACATAACAATAAGGTGGCATTCTCGGACGAGGGCCCTGCAGGAAAAGACGAAAGAGCGGCCCAATCCCGCCGCCGTATTCTCGCTTGACCCTGTCTTTTCTGGAAACCCTGGCTCTTGGCTCCCCTCCCCCTCCATCGTCACCCCTCCATCGACCCTCCCGCGCTGCTTGTGGTGCTTGGGCAATAACAACGGACGGCAGCCGCTCGCATCCTGAACCGCGCAGCCAAGTAAGTACCTTAGGGCGTGGCACTCCACCACAGGCACAGCTCCCGCGAGAGATTCCAGCGGAGGGCAGCAGTGGCATTCGCTTCACTGGTTCAAGGTTCTCAGGCCTGCTCATCCGTACCCAAACTTCTTTATTTTGCCTTCCAATACCTTTCACACAGTGCTCTCCGGTCCTGTTCTGTTCACTGTCGTCAAGGCCCGACTCTAGCGAAGTGTTCGCACCAAGGGACCCCCCAAGTGAAAGTCCCCATCTTCCCAACCAAAATTGCACTAGAGATCAGTTCCAGATTCGCCCTTTCCCTCTTTGAGATACCAAGAGGGGACCACCTCCTCCACCACCATCACCCCTCCTGCTCCTTCTCTCTTTCTCTCTTTTGGTCCTGCCGCCCTGGTCGTTCACGCCCTGCCTGCCCCCCAGCCATCACGCCTGCCGCTTTTAATCGTCGTCCTTAGGCCATCATCACCTTCCCTGTCTTGCCCTGCTTTACTACCTTACTACCTTGCTTAGCTCACCTCACCTTACCTTGCCGCATCTTTAAAAGCCCAGGTACCTGAGTTGTACTTTACCACAACTCACCTCACCTCATCATACCTTACCTTACCTTACCTCCCCTAAGTAAAGCCCGATCACCTATTATTCACCTCTGATCCTTCGTAAATTATCAAGCATTCAACGGGCCTTATACCGGTCCGTCTTCACCTTCGGTCAGTTCACCTCGAGTCGTCCCTACCGACGGCCGAGAAGGCACGAGAGCCTACCCATCAGAGCAGCCTCAGTCTTGCCGGCGTGTACCTATTGCCGCCGGCTTCAATTAGCGACATCCTGTCATCCACCGGGCCTCATCATCCGTTGTCTCATCAAACCCGCGGCTTCGACTTTCAATACCTCCGACACAACTTCACTTCGGCTTCCTTCTTTCTCCACCCTACCTTGTTGCACGCAGGTGTAAGAAAGAAGAGACGAACCAATCAGTCCTTGACCTTCCTCCCTATCCTTCGCCGTGAAGCAACTGTCTTCTACGGCGCTTGATCCTGTCATTGGTATGTATGTACAATCCGTCTCCTTTCCATACCTTGCCTTACCTAAGGCAAGGTACCTACCTACTTTACCTTGAAGGTCGAGGTACTTGGAGCCGGGTACTTTGTAGCAAGTCACCAGCACCGCACCGCAACCCCACCACGCGCGGTCTTCCCCTCCAAAAAAAAAAGCCCACCTACCCACATCCACTTACTGCATCCCCCGCCGAAAAATTATTAGACACCTCGGAAGCCCTACCTGCTTCGCTGCCTGCCTCTTTTACACCACCAACCAGCTCTTCCCGACGTCTTATTATATGCGCGCCCGACCATAATCGGACCCGATAGCTTACCCTTTCTCATTCTACCTTAGTTCGGAAAACACTTCGTCGTCCTCTCAGACCTGAGTCCGCAGTCTCCATATCTCTACCTCTTTGTAAGTTATTTGTCTTGTGTGTGTCCGGTTCTGCTGCCCACGAACACCAACCCCTTCCTACCTCACATATCCCGAATATCCACCCTGAGCTGCATGCTCCCTGCGGTTGCGGTATATCTCCCCTTCACCATCATCACACCTGCAGCACCGCACTGCTGGCGCTGGCGGCGGAAGCACCAACGGCGGCAACGGTACGGCCTGGCACCTTGGCCACTCTCCTCATCCTTACACAGGGCAATCCAGATTTCACCAGCCTACCTATCCCCAAGAACCGGTCGCAAAGAAGCCGAAACCTTTGTTCCACAGTCCACACACACTCCATCATACATCGTGGGATCCACCACCACCTGACTGAACATCTGCTTTGCTGTCTTGCGTTGGCTCGTTGTCTTTCTGACCAAAATCTTCGCTTCGGTAGCATCTCTCCTCTCTTCCTGTGCCTACCTGCTGTCGCCAATCACACACCGTCCTCTCATCTCGAGCGCCCTTAGCCAATACCATTTCAAACCACGCCTTTATCTGCCCTGCCTTCACGCCCACTTACGCTACATAGACACACAACAACTCTAACAAACCGCACACTCAACCGCCAAAATGCCTGCTTCAGAAGACAAGGTATGTGATTAAGTTTTACTTCCGTGTGACGCTTCTGTGGTGATGTGTTTTGGGCCACAAGGGCTGGGCTAACGTGGGGTGTTTTGCACACAGAGCGACGATGGTCCCCTCAGTACCCCCGACTTTGGCGATGCGATTGACTCAGTCACCTTCGGTCAGATCCTGGAGATGGATGAGGACGAAAATGATCGCGACTTCAGCCAGTCAATCGTTTTTGGCTTCTTCGAGCAAGCAGAAGAGACCTTTGAGCAGATGGACGAGGCCTTGTGAGTCGCATCATCACCACCTCCACCATCATCATCATCATCATTACCCCCACTCTGCCTTGCTGGCGCCCCCCTCCGCTCTCCTCTCCAGCCCTCTTCCCCCCTTCACCCCTGAAGTATCCTCAGTAGCAGATAGAAACTCATTTGCTGGTGGCCTGGTGCACGTTTCGATTGCGCTGGCTGTGGACAATGCTGACTTTTGATTTCTTACTCAACCTTGTAGAGAGGAGAAGGATCTCGAGAAGCTGTCATCGCTCGGCCACTTCCTCAAAGGCTCTTCAGCCACGTTGGGACTCGTCAAGGTTAGAGACAGCTGCGAAAAGATTCAACGTTACGGCAAGAAGGAGAACGAGGATGGAACCCCTGAGACGGACGAGAAGCTGTGCCTGGAGCGAATTGAGAAGACGCTCAAGGACCTCAAGACGGAGTACGAGGACGCCGAGAAGCTTTTGAAGAAGTTCTTCGGCACCGAAGAAGAAGAAGAAGAAGACTAAAAGCCGCCATCGACGACTTCTGGTCAACACCGCCGCTCCGTGTCTTAGCACCAACCGTTCTGTCGCCCAGCATTAGAAACGATGGCTGTGACGACAAGAAGGATATGGGCCACGATGGAGGATGTTCTACACACCTCGAGGGCTGCGCGGCTCTCCCAGTACCTTGGCCCTTTGACACTTTGCTTACGAACCCATTTCTCCTCATACCCCCTTCTCTACGCTTACGAATTTGATTCACGAAGAAAAATTGGCATTTTGGCATGGTGACCTGGATTGGCTTTGCATGGGAGACCCTTTTTTGTTTGCAAAGGGGAAAGCCAAGTTGAATAGCTGGATGGCCGAGGCAGTCTACCAACTGAGACGAAACAAAGGTTCTGAAGGCTCGTGCCATGGGCCCCCCCATTTACGCCTGCCATAGTCCTAAATCAACAGCATGCTCTCACAGTCTTTACCACCTTCACTGGATAGACGGACAATAGCATTACCTGCGTTCGTTTGTAAAGAGCCGATACTCTTAGCGGTACAGAGCTGCTGATCCCACGCGAGTAACGGCGATAAAAGCCGCTCTGTGAATTAAATCTTTTAATTCCTTAACTACGATTTTCCTTCCTTCAACTGGAACAAAACTTACACGCGCATTGCCGGATGGACGGCGTCATATCTGTAGCACTTCCACCCAGTCCTCGTGGTGGTGGTTCAAGCTCCGGGGCTGGCAGACGGGCTGACAAGCAGGATTCCATCCCCGGTGCGGGCAGCGGGGAACCCATCAAAATTCCATCCGAGCGTACCCTTTCTAGTAGGTGACAAAATTGGACGCTGGGCAACGAAAGATTGTAATACTGACTTGCCTACTTATTGATCATAACCTTCTGATTCTATTCATCTCCATTATTTCTACTATTACTTCCAGGTTACATATGTGCTTATCAAAGGGTACTCTTTTAAGAAAGAATACGCATAGCAACAGTAGGGAAAGAGCCCGGTAGGATACCTACCTATAGAGCGGCATACGATTATGTCACCCACTTGCCTTTCAGCCTTGACCGACTGACATCATTGTGAGGAGTGACGAAGCCCAGGCTCAGAGATCGACAAACTGACGCCATAGCTCAAACCTGGTATGTCTGCATATTCTTCTTATGGCACTGAGGAGCATCCTGAGCCCGTGAGCCCTGTGGCGGTGCGGGATCTGCTGGAAATGTCTCCCATGCGCTGCGCTCCAAGCCTTTCCATTCTCAAGCCCTTCTCACCACCATCGGAGGTCAAATCGACGATGGATCTGATTATCTTTCTTGTCACGCGAGCAATGGGTCTTTAAGAGGGCTTTCTCGTTGCACCAGTCTTCGGGCCGGCCCGACAGGACCACGCTGTTGGACTGCTCGTTGACTCCGTTCGCGGGACCGTCCAGGAACTAAGCTCTAACGTGGTTCGCAGATTTCGCTGGCCATCAGAACACCTGCAGGCTTCCTAGGTACAATCTTCACTGCCAGACTGTCTCTTTCTTCTAGGTGACGAAGCGTGCCGGATCTGGAAGATCCCACTGGACCAAGCGCAGCGGAGCACCAAGACTTCATCGACTTGCCCCCCTTTCCGAGCCACCCACCATGCCCCCTCGCCCAAACGCCAGGCCTTCGCCTACACACTTTCTGTGCATACCTTTGGTCACCTCAGCCTCGAGACCCCAGCTGTCAAAGAGCCTGGCCTCCTTCAAGTCAGATGTCACCAGCCCAGACAGCTTCGCAATTCCTACAGACGCCGTGCGGCCGCTCGGCACTCTGCACCTCACTCTTGGTATCATGAGTCTGGCCAAGGACGAGGGCATCAACAAAGCAACCGAGGTCCTCAAGAACCTGAAACTGCGGGAGATCTTGGCCGGCATCGCGCCTCTGTCCTCCGAGACCCCGTCGGCTGGCAAAGCGCAGTCGTCTACTGGCACCCCCGGAACCGACTCGCCGCTCCGAATCACGCTTCGCGGCTTACACTGCATGAAGTCGGGCCCTCGAGCGGATCCCAGCAAGGCATCGGTCCTGTACGCGCCGCCTGCACATGGCGAAGGTGTTTTCCAGACATTCTGCGAAAGAATCAGAGCTACGTTCGAAGAGGCCGGAGTTATGGAGAAGGATGCCCGGGGCTTATTGTTGCACGCCACCATCGTCAACACGATCTATGTCAAGGGCGGCTGGAGTAAGAAGGGTCCGAAACTGACCATCGACGCGAGGGATATACTTGACCGATATGATGACTACGTCTGGATGGAGGATGTGCCCCTGGAAAAGATTGCCATCTGTCGCATGGGGGCCAAGAAGATTGAGGGGACGGATGACGAAGCATACGAGGTAGAGGCCGAGATCGACTTTTAGTCTGATCCAGCAGCCCGGGTCTTTACACGACTTGTTAAGAAGCTCGCGAGCCTCAATGGTCCCTGGGGAGCGTTGGATGTCCCTACTCGGAGCATTCAGAGCCTTGATACTTGCCGGTGTTTGTGACAGTCTCTAGACAACAATGTGAAAGGTATCGCTAGGAGCAAGTGATCCATCGCCGGCGACCATTGAACACGGAACTTGGCAGCATAGACAGATAGGAAAGAGTTACATGGTGGAAACAACTCGTAAAGTATAGGGAAATGTGACCCAAAGGTTCACATAACCTAACCCTTCAGTACAAAGCCTATGTTCCTGTATAAACGCGCACATCCAACCCCAGGGCTCCCTGGCAGCCGACCGCACCGCACCACACAGCCCCCACGGTTCAGCCCCGAGCGGCCACAAGCGCCGGGCCGCTAAAAATACCGCTCCGGCGGGGAACTATGGGACACCCCCCTTCCAATGACAGGAGGGACCCTCGCCGGCCCCCAATGTCGACCTAACATCCTAGAAGGACCGACTTGCGACGACGTCCCAAACCCAGCTTCCACGGGAAGGCTACCTTAATTGCCTCGTCTTGCCTTTCCTTGCCTCAACGTACCTCTGTTTGACGATATCCGATCAAAAAGCTCTCCAGAAGCTTCGCTTTGCGCTCATGTGTTTGCCCCTCGCCTAGAGGCCAAGAACCAGGCAGCCAGCGAACGCCACTCCGTACTTCTCTCGCCAGTCCACCCCCCTTCCGAAGCTGCGTACGCACACTCAAGACCTGTCATCAACGAGGGGAAAGGTCAGCGTTGGCCGAAAAACCAAGGGGAGGAGAAGGAGGGCCAGGCCAAAAGAATTCGAAAGGGCCCGTCAGACCTCCCCTTCATCGCGAGCGGGTTAGAAGAATAAGCGAAAACCCGCCACGCCCCAAAACTCATCGTCTTACCTCCCCATCATGCAGTACCAAGCCAGTCGCATGCTCCTCCCCCGCCGTCTCCATGACGAAAGATAAAAAGCTCGGCCGGATGTCCACGACACCGGCGGAGAAGCGCCGCTCCTTCATCCCAGGCGGCAGCAGCAGTAGCAACAACAAGGAACACACCAGCGGTGGCGGAAGCAGCAGCGCCTCGAATAGTAACGCTGCCGGCGGACCCTCGTCGTCCTCGGCCAAGCCGCCAACCTCGTCGTCCCAGCACGGCGGAGGCGGGTCGTCAAACGCCCACCACGTCCTGCACACCTCGAACCCGCGCACCAGCACCGCGAACATCATCGCCCCGCCTCCCCGCGCTCACCACGGCCCCGCGAACTCCTCCTCCGCGAGCCCAAACCCCGAGGACGGTGTCACAGCGGCCACGGCTTCGAGCAGCAGCAGCAAAGATGCTAAGGACAAGGACTCAAGACACAAGGAAGCCTCTGGCGGGGGCAACAACAGCAACAACAGCAACGCTGCTGGCACCGCAGGCACCACCAGCCACGGCCACGGGGGCATCTCCTCCTCGGCCCAGGTCAAAGATAAGGACGCGCGCATAGCGCACCTGGAGCGCGAGCTCGAAATCATGGAACGCGAGTTCACCAAGGAGCTGGACAAGCTCTCGCAAAACGAGAGCGAGACGGCTGTCTTCTGGCAGGCGAAGCACAGCGACGTCAACCAGCAGTTCCTCCGCGCCGACGCCGACCTGCGGCTCCTCAGGCAAGAGTCCGAGGCCCGGGACGCCGACCGCGACGCCCTGCGGCGCGAGGTGGGCGAGCTGCGGGTGCAGGTGCGCGGGCTCAAGGAGTTTGTGAGCACGAGCACGCGGACGAGCGGGCAGACTTCTGATGAGGTGTTTTGCGATGGCATGGCGAGGTTGAGTAACGGGTTGCAGAACTGGGTTATTGTCAACTTTCGGAGGGCAAAGTTGGGTACGTTTCTCTTCTTATATCCGTCCGCGAGAATACACCCAGGCGAAACTCCGGAATACACCTCAGAGAAGATAAGAGAGTATAATGAAGACTAACAAAACATGACAGACTTTGCTGCAGCAAGCGACGACGTGCTCGAGGAGCTTGGCCAGCTGGTACCCATGTACGCCGACCTCGAGCCCTCGGCAAAGGTTCACATGCTGCAGTCAGTCGTCTCGCGCGTGCTCGTCGAGACAATCTTCAACTCGTACTTCTTCGGCCTCCCCAAGGAGCAGGCCGAGCAGCTCAAGGCCGTGGAGCAGACCCTCTCAGGCTATGGTGAGTGATACTCCTTATCCTTTCTCCTTCTCCCCTACCCCTGACCCCCTTATTTCTGGAAGCTCAAGAGGGCAAACGAAAAAAATCGGCTAGCTACTAACACCACATGACAGTCGACTCGCCAGAAGCAATCAACAACTGGCGCTCCACAACACTCGCCCTCCTCCAGCGCGAAGCGGACTCCAAAATGCAGGCCGAGACGTTGGCAGCAACGGACCGCGTCATCGCCCGCGTAAACCGCATCCTCGACGCTGTCACGGACGCAGTCCCGGCCCCACCAGCCACGGGAGAGACCACGAACCCCCGCGACGCCGGTCTCCGCGCCCTAGTCGGCAGCGCTGCGGACCTCGCGCGGCAGCTCGCCGTGCAAAAGGCCGTCTTCCGGGTCCACATGCCCGACATTGTCCCGCATCAGCAGACGAGGTTCGACGCCGCCACCATGGAGGATATCGGCGGTGAGGATGAGGAGGCGCTGTCGCAGCGCGATATCGCGTGCGTCACGTTCCCCGGCATCATTAAGCGCGGGGACGAGAACGGGGGCCATATGCAGTATCAGAATGTCATTGCCAAGGCTAGGGTACTATGTAGTCCCGAATAAGACGCAGTTCTGGTGCTCAAACTACCATTCTTTTCACTTTTTCTTTTCCAACTGTCGTCGAACATAGACGGTTGCCTTGCGCCTCGTGGTCCTGGCGCCCTGGCTGAGCATCTCAAATATCACATGTACCTCATACCTACCCATGATATACCGTTCTTGATGACGCAGAACCCCTATCAAACCATGGACGCAAGTCAGATTTGCACATTACCTCTTTTCGCAGCATCACTTATCAATGCTTATCCCACTCTCGTCAGCCATCGCCGGCGGCCCGTCCACATGATGAGCCTGCAGACGACAAAACCAAAGCGGAGAGACGAACGAACCCTTCCCCATCCTCCTTCCCGCGCGGCGCGGACGGGAGGTCTCAACCGAGCCTTGCTACGACACTGTGTAAGTAGGTTCCATCACGAACGTCATCAAAGCTTTACAGCAGTAGCTTGCTTGCTTGCATCAAGAACTACCGAACGAAGAGGATTCAACGTTGAACTCGGCGACGCCGTGAAAGTCGTGACGTCGGCCAATCGAAAGATCGTGTTCACTGCAATACCCCATGTCCACTTACTTCCCAAGACATGCAGCCCTCTGGAGTCTGGCGAGCGTCCTGCAGCGTGGTCGGCCGGGGTGGGTGAGAAGAGCGGGGTTCCGTCTCTGCCTCTTCCCTTCTTTCCCCCCTCTCTCTCCTACGGATACGGAATTCATCCCATCAACCTGCGGACTTAACTTGATCCTCCCGAGGAGAGAGACACAAAGTTCAAATGGGTAGAGTAGAAGGATTGAGGCTCTGCGAGCTATTGGGGCAAGATTCTCTCCGGGTCAAGTGGATTCCCCGCCCTTCCTCCAACACGGTTCGACAGTTGACGCACTCGTGCTGTATGGCAAATCCTCGCCATGCTTTCTATGTGTCGTGCCGCACTCACTGCATTATCGAGATTTAGCCCCCAATGGCAACTTGACTCCATGTCGATGCCGACCCGCGGAAATGAGTGTATTCGGGGCACATTTCTTGACGCAACAGGCTTCTTTGCAATTCGAGGAATGTTGCTTCGGCGTTGCTGTTTCTGCAAGGAAAATCAATGTTCCCCCTTTTTTTCTTTGAATAATTTGCTAGAGCTCCTGTTGAGGTACAGGACTCGCTCGCAATGCGGGCTACTACCGGCAATTCCGCCGTGTTACTGCAGCACGCTGTACAGCACTCGCTTGCTCTGGCAACCTTGTCTGCTGCGAAGGCGCCCCCCGCTCCCCTCTCGTTTCTAATGCCGCGGGCGTACACGTGGACATCTCATAGTGGGTGGCTATCGCCATTGTATCCATGTAGAAGAGAAACATAGAGACCGGACATTTGAGCTGTAGACGGGAACGACGTAAATCGGTCCCGTACGACATTGCGCTGCAAGCCCAAGGGTCATTGCACTCAATGATGATAGCCCTACGGAGCTGGAGCTGCCACAGGCGCATATGATCGGACACCACCTCCGGTTCGACGCTTCCGTTGAAACGATCGTCGATCTTCTGCGCGGCGGAACACGACATTGGAAACAGACTTCTTTGAGGACAAACCTCCTCGCGAGGGAAGGATGTCTGCCTCAATGCCACTTAGAACATTTGCTGACATGCTTCTTTCTGGCCCACCCGCCGGTTGGCGAAAGGGGATCGATTGGACGGGTTGATACTGGCATTGGTGTGGAGAGCTGTATCTATCCGTCTCGGACGTGTGTGGGCTCGTGCCGCCGCCGGCCATGGTTCGCATGGAGTGCGGTCGAGAAGGTGCCATACCCGAGCAACTGTGTATATGTAAGAACACTCTAGTCGTATAATATCTGACGCGTCCCCAATGCGTTAGAAGTAAAGCAAAGAAGGTAAACTCTTTCCATCCCACCGCTCACAGCTTTAGTATACCTACCTTCCCCGACTGAAGTATCCGTCCATCCTTGCGCGGACACTGTACTTTTCCACGTTTGCATTCTCGTCGTTGTTGGGTAGTACGGTCTTTCCTCGAAAGATCGAAGTGCAGGTCACTGACCTGCAGAGTCATCTGCGACCACCAACCGCCCGCTCATTCTGCGTCTGCTGTTAGCAGTACACCGTCTCCACCTACCCAAGTCGCCTGTCAGCTTTCCATCCCTCTGCGGTGTCTATCGCTTTTCAGCTTCGACATCTCGATCTTGCTCCGCGATTCTCGCATCTGCTGGAA